TTATCCATTATGGAGTTATACTCTACCACAGTGCCCAAGTTTTATACTTATATCAATAACGCTGAGTTCAACTTACACAGCACTGGGCAAAGAAGTGAAGAAGAGTGCCAGGAAGGACAAGAGACAATTCTACGACAACCTGGCTACTGAAGCTGAGAAGGCAGCAGGCAAAAGGGACCTGAAGACACCATATCAGATAACCAAGTCTCTATCCGGGAAGAGATCAACACAAGTGAAACCTATAAAAGACAGCCAAGGGAACCCAATTACCAAAGAAGAAAGACAGATTAAACAATGGGCGGACCACTTCAAAGGACTCTTGAACCGACCACCACCTACAAACCGTTCAGAAATACCAACAACAGCACGTACACAACTGCAAATTGACACTAATCCTCCAACGAAAACTGAAGTCATGAATGCAATCAAGCTTCTGAAAGCTGGAAAAGCAGCTGGACCAGATGGAATACCCCCTGAAGCACTGAAAGCGGACCCAGAAACGACAGCAGACATGCTGACTCCATTATTGCAAAAGGTCTGGAAAGAGGGAAAGGTGCCTACTGACTGGAGGAAAGGTCACCTCGTGAAACTACCAAAGAAGGGCGACCTAGGACTTTGCAAGAACTGGCGAGGAATCATGCTCCCGTCGACACCAAGTAAAATTCTGAGTCGCATCATCCTGGAGAGAAGAAAGGACGCACTGAATACAGAACTCCGACCAGAACAAGCTGGATTCAGGAAAGGCAAATCATGTTCTGACCAAATTGCAACTCTACGCATCATCATCGAACAAAGCATGGAATGGCAATCAAACCTCTACCTCAACTTTATAGACTTTGAGAAGGCCTTCGACAGCGTTGACCGCGAAGTAATTTGGAAACTACTCAAGTACTACGGCGTACCCCAAATATTCATCAACCTTATTCAACAGCTGTACGACAACAGCACATGTCAAGTGATCCACAACGGAAAACTCAGCGAAGCGTTTGGAGTAAACACAGGAGTCAGACAAGGGTGCTTATTATCACCAATGATATTCCTAATTGTGGATTATGCGTCAGACAGTGGGAAACGAGAAGACAGGGATATCCTGGACCGACGTGAAGAACCTAGAAGACCTGGATTTCGCGCGTAGATGATTTATGTTTGATGTCACACAAAATCGAAGACTTACAAGCGAAAACCGACAAACTGGTCGAAGAAGCAGCTGGTGAAGACAGGACTCCAGGTGAACATAGACAAGACGGAGGTTATGAAAATAACCAACCAACAACAACAACAACAGCAACATCCAGCGCCAATCACCATCAACGGGAGGGATTTGAAAGAGGTTACTTCATTCTCTTATCTAGGGAGCATTGTCTCAACTACAGGAGGAACGGACGAGGATGTCAAATCGAGAATCGGGAAGGCGAGAAACACATTCATCAACCTGAAACAAATCTGCAAATCTTCGTCACTCAGCCTGCATCAACAACAAAATTCGGATTTTCAATACAAACGTCAAGTCAGTTCTTCTATACGGATCAGAAACTTGGCGGGTCACAAAGAATATTTCCAACAGCCTGTTGCAGACCTTTATCAACAGCTATCTTCGCTCTATACTGAAGATCAGATGGCCGGAAAGAATCACCAACAAGAGACTATGGGAACAAACAAAACAAGAAGCAATCGCTCAACAAATATTCAGGAGAAAGTGGAGATGGATTGAACACTCGCTGAGGAGGCCACTGGGTGACATCGCGCGTCAGGCCAGTGCTCGAGTGGAACCCGAAAGGGAAGCGGCGAGTGGGACGTCAGTTCAAGGGTGACATGGAGGAGATCGTGTGATGAGGAACTGAAACAGTATGGATTAACATGGATGCAAGTGAAAAGTACAACAGAAGACAGAATCAAGTGGAGACGTGCAGTTGAAGCCCTATGTTCCACTAGGAACCCAAGGGAACAATAATAATAATAATAATAATAATAATAATAATAATAATAATAATAATATAGGATTTAAAATGGTACAGATACTGATGTAAACTTCTGAAAACTGTTTTGTAAAATATAATTGAAAATAAATGTTTATAATTCCAAATGTGTATCCTAGTGTTAAAATGGATATACAAAGAAATAGATAAGCATACAGACACAAACATACACACATGTACCAAACACAAGAGAAACTCGAATGTAATAATAAGTAGTGGACTGCAATCAAAAATTCATATATTTATTGATCAGTCGACAATTATATACGCGTACATACGCACATGCATATTATATTAGACGAAGTAATCGCTGAACTATAGAGAGTACTGTAACTTCAACTATTGATTTTTACATAAACTTAGTTTTACTTAACTACCAATACATGTGCACACATGTATTTACAATTTAAGGTCAGGTGTATGACACGCGTGAGCATGTATTCTCGTCTTGAATATGCATCCATCTGGTCTTGTGTGTGTGTGTGTGTGCGTGTGCGAAATGAGGGTATTGTGTGTGTTACTAAGTTATTCAAATATAATGGGATAATAGTGTTCGAATTCTCGTTCATCTGTTCACTTAACTAGCCTAGTAACATGTCATGTATCGTCAGAATGTGATGGTCAATCTGCTACTGCATTGCATGTATGTACATTCATGCGTGTGTGCAAGAGTGCAAATAATTAAATGTATGTAGTAACAGACCATTCGAGTTAAGTGAAAAGAAGTAAAATATTTATATGCAATGACGTGTATTCAAATTCTTAACTGATCAATACTATTGTGTTAATGACAAGGCATGAACAACTCCTACTAAACAGTTCAGTCAATATCTGCTATTTTTAATTCTTGTTTCTTATTTGTTATGGATTTGAAATGTACACGTATTAACCGATTAATCATACAAATATTGATGATTTGTAACAAATTTAAATTAATGAAATTTTCAAGTCAATTCTTAATTTTATTGTGCGCTTTAAAATCAGTCAGATTTGTCACTTCGTTGAATGAGTGAAACTTGGTCGATGTCAAACAGTTTACACAATTAAAGAAAAATAATGAAATGAGCTTTATTCTGGAAATTGTGTGTGAATAGGATACATAATTCATAGAGTAATTTCTTGTGAAACATTTACTCTCCATAAGGAATCTTTAAGTAATATATCCATTGACAGTATAGTGTATGACACAATGTCATTCTACCTGAAACAAGACTCATTCCTTCACTTTCCTTCATTTTCTTCTTAAAGGAGTTCGATCTGTGTGAGTTCATGCTGCCATTCAATGATAACTTTGGAAGATTAAAACAAAAACAAAATGGAGAAAAGTATATGCATTCTACGAGATAGGAAATAAGCAGACCATTACCATAGTGAAGAAAAGAAAATAACTTACCGAACTACAGACTAAGAAACAATTCACAGGTAACTTAGAACATCTAAGTGGTAGATATTATTATAAACCCATTAAGGAATTCATTCTAATTAGGTAGTATTGCGATTCAAAACAGGAAAATCTATTAATATAAAACTATCATATGGAGTCAGTATACTTCATTGCATGGAATCAGGAACCCCTTAACAACTGTTTCGTCCCAATCTGAGACCCTTCAATAGTACGTACCCATGACACCACTGGGGATCGAACCTAGGAATATGGGGTTACAAGGTGAGCTCGTTGACCATTTAGCCATTGACTTCGATCCCCAGTAGGGTCAAGGGTGCGTTTTGATGAAAAGCCCCAAACAAGGACGAAACAGCTATCAAACATTTCCTGACCATAAAATTGTAATCAATCAAAAGATTCTATTCCATTTTCCTGCATCGTTATTTGATACAGGCTTTGATCATCAGTGATTTCTTTTGTAAATAGGTTTCATTTAAAAAGTTCATAATTTACATATTGTCGTTTTTTATTATTTTTTTTACCGTAATCACTGTAGCATAAATAATGAAGAAAGAAGTGAGAAAGTCATTAGCGCGCGTGCCTGTGTGTGTGTGCTTTTTACCTTATCAATTTGAAATGAAATTTATATGATACCATTCTTATAGTGTGATCATTCTTCACTATATACACCCGAGATAAATATAATATGTAAAAAATTTAATTTTTGTTTATTTTTATCACTGGCATAGAAAAAACAAACTATTCAACATTGTGTATATGTTTATCTTCATCTGTTTGTAGATATGCATTTATGCACAATAAAAGTAAACAGAAGGAATGTACATCTCATTATTTTCCTACTACTTTTACTACTATTACTACTTCTTTTTTTCAACTTATGTGAAAGAGAATAAAAGTATTCACCGCCATTTCATTGAACATTGAAAATTAAGCATTGACAAAACAACGACAATAACAATAGTAGTGTCGATGATGATGCCGATAAAAATAATTTAAGGATTATTGTTGCTATGATAGTTATTTAAACGTCGTGTGTGTGGGTGTTTCTCTGTTTACTCTTTTTCTATTGTTGTTTAGATAGTTAAGAGTTTTGCTTCACGGAAAGAAGAAAGAGCATGAAAATAATTGATTGAAGAAAGTGATAAGAATTTGTGAACTTTCTTTAATCACTGATTTCTTTTGTGTTTATTACTCTCTTATTTTAAGGTGAACACATTTTACTACAATGTGTTGTCATTTTCTTTAGAATAACCTTTTTGAAAAATTAGTTGACGTTGCTCTAGGAGTTTATTATTTACTTTCATATTGTTGTCACCATCACTGTGGTTGTAGTAGCAGTAGTAATAGTGTAAGTAATAGTTATATTATGCGTTGCATTGGTAGTAATGGTTACATGGAGGTTTCGGTGGTTTTACTCACAACTTCGTACAATCACAATAATATATAAGTTCATCTGAGAAATTTACAAGGGTTTCCACATTCAAAACAGTCTATCAGGCATGATAACAAGCGATGTAATCCATTTGTGAAGAATATATATATATATATGTTTACATCTCGAAAAAATTATTTTAAAATGTAACAGAATACGTGTTTGCTGTGATTAGATTTTGCGTGATATGATGCAAAATGTTGAAAGTCAGGCATTATCAATAAGAGCACAAAACCAAGAATGGAAGGATATGGCACGGAAATTAAACAGTGAAACAAAGAATGATCTAAAAAAAGGTAATACTCTTCAACTTGAAACTGACATCAAGACAAAAAGAGTAATTGAACAAGTTCCCTTTCTGGGACATAATGATGTAAAATTCTCGAATATGTTTCATCGTTTAAAATATTTCCTAAAAATTTTTAGTGAATCATCTTTTGATAGAAAGTAATCTGTGTTGACAATTAGTTATTTCAGCAACAGCACTACCACTGAATCCAAAGTATCCAGTAAAATGTTATCCAAACTTCAGATAAACCACCGACCTGTCTGCCTTTCTCTAAGGGAGCAGATTCATACGAACTTGCTCCAAAGCACTGGCTTAGCTTTCGAGTTATTATAGAACATCCAGTAATGATCATTGACATCAGCGAACAGTTTTAAAGAGTTTACAATAAAATATCTGTCTACTTGATCCTAAGTTAACCCAATATGTCGTGCGTAAATTATCTCATTTAACATAAATTAAACTATAAAGTAAATCTGAGTAGAAGTTCCCGCAGTTAAAAACTTGCTATTCCAACATTTACATTGTCACGTTGTACTCATTTGCACAGAAATCAGATCATTTCTATAATTCTAACACTGATTGAAGGTCACAAGAAGTTTGATAATACCACATAGCAAACGTTAATTCAGTCTTATGACACGTTCAACACGTTTAAAAGTTTTCAGATTTAAAATTTACGAGAATTTAATCAACTTCAAGATGAATTTCATAGTAAACTGACATCATTTAGACAATCATTAAAAATCATAGAACTAACAAAATACAGAATTCATAGATCAACTGAATATCAAGCTATTGAACGTGCTGACCTTGTACCCTTAAGGGCTTGGATTTGATTCCTCACTAGTTTCACAGAAATACACCACTGAAGAGTCTTAAACTAGGATGGAAGAGCTCTTCGGTGTTCACTGACTTTTGTGATTTCCCAGATGACTTCAGTTCACTGGTGAAATCCGCTTTGACAGTTAGAAAGGTCTTAGAAGATGGTTTTGTCGATGAGAACATTGTGAACAAATCGAGTTAAATTTGAGTCAGAGACATTTCACCACAATAAGATATGGGACAAAGTGAGTTACTAGTTTGAGTGCTGTCACGATCTGGGTTTTTATCTTACCACTAAGTATTAACTTGTAACAAATAAATGAGAAATGACTTTTTGCTTTATTCACAGTCAAACCACATATTTAAATCAATAATATCGAATTAAATGTGTACATAATAATAATAATAACAGATGGTGAATAAAGTTACACCTTTGTATTCTAGCTTTTGATTGTTGTAAATATACACACTAGGGTGGATCTGCTATATCTAGTGGAGAGACGAGGTGGGTAGGAAGGAAGCGAGAGAGAGACAAACGATATACATTTTCTTTTGACAGAACACAAACATATGTGAGTAAATGAAATCGGTGAAAGGAGGAGATTAAACCTTTAGTGACGCCCGCTAAAACTGATTGACAAGTAAACATTGTCATGGATTACTAAACATAATAACAAGTTTACATCTCCACACAAATTTGGTCAGTACTTTCAGTTCTCCGTGGACTAATTACATTAAAGCTCAATATTATTATTCCTCAATCAGACACTTTGAACAACTATATGAAAAGTTAAAAATGATAAGTCAACTAGATTAAAACCTAGTGACTGATAGATAGACGTACAGTCCAGAGTCTGAACGTCCTGTACCCTGCCTTTAGTGGGGTCTTTGGTGCATAATCTTAAAGAGTTCCTAATTAGGACCAAACAGGCGTTCAGTGAGACTTGATTTTCAATGATTCTCCGTGGAATTTCATTCTCGTTTTAACTTTAACCCTCACTTACTGCATAAGTAACAATTTTTACTAACCTAGACAGTTCCGCTGATGAAAAGGAACTAGTTACTCATGTAAGCAGCTCCGATGGCGAGAATCAGAGAAGAAATAATAATAAAACAAGCAGAATTCAAACAAGCATGAATCGGATAGAAAATCAATACACAAGTGAATTAGTAAGCAGTTCGAAAATGAAGTTATTAGAGTTTTCTACTACTACTACTACTACTACTACTAGTTTTTAATATTTAATAGTCATAGATAGAATAGGAAACTGAAGAGGACACTGGCTATTTTTTCTGCTCATTATATATATTATATATAACACAATTATATATACCATATTAAATATGATGTATATATATAATCAGCAAGCAGACAAAAGGATTCTGAATGCATGCAAGAAAACTTTGTTATATTTAATATATATATATATATATATATATGTATATATAACACAATTTTCTTGTATGCATTCAGAATCCTTTTGTCTGCTTTGCTGAGTTTGTTTTATTACATCTTTAATAACAGACAGTTGTGGATTTGCTCAACATGTATGAGATGGTTCTTTCTGCTGATAAACTAGTATGCATAACTCTCGGTGCTACATATGAATTTTTATGATGGAAAACTTAAATTTCCCCGGCGACGGGAGGAGGGAGCATACTTTCTTGTTCGTTTAATGCTTTATCTGTTGTTTATGCTGCTTTTATTACTACTACTCAAGCTTTTAAACCGGGCTGACCTATTTCTTTAAAAAAGAGTTGGCTTTTATACCCCTTTGAGCAACAACACAAATCATCCTCTAATCACATTTATAGAACAAACATTTTAAGTAGTGTTTTTGTATATTCAATTGACTGATCAATCGATTGAGAGAATAAGAAAAGGGCTGTTGAAATTCCATTCTGATGACTGAGTGTTTGGAATGTGCTATTGAATGCCAATTTATAAATAATAGCAAAGAAAACTGGTCTTGTTACACACACACATACACATACAAATAATTCTCATGTTTCGTTGCAATTTCATCGAATTTATTCAGATACAGCACACATTAGCCAACATAGATATAAAATCCTAGGTGAATTAATAAACTCAAAATGCTTTTCGGTTGTGCACTTGGAGAAGAATACGACTACGTCATTGGCAAATCATTAACTTCATGATTAATATCAGGGTAGATTTCATTATAAGACAGTATGGTGAAATGACAGAAATTAGAATTCATGAAGTATTGGATTTTATTCCAGTGACTTAATGTTCAACGAATCGCATTAAGTAACCTGAGGGTCACATGTTCTCTCTGTGCTGGGCTTGTAGATATACACTGCTGAAGAGTGACAGACAGCTATTTAGTGCTGGTTTTTAGTAGTTTTCCAAATGATTTATTTTTTTTATTTTTTATTTTTTTTATTTTTGATTACAGCTTGATGCCACACCGTATTTTCAGTACAAATATGGCATTTTCAGCATGGATATCGGTAGCCCAAATTTTGCAGGCCGACCATTGATATCGCTGAATGACGAAATCTACTTTGAGAAGGGGAAATATTCTTAAATTTAAAAAAGAAAATGAAATGGGAACGATTGTGTAATCTGAGGAAGAGAATGAAGCTGTTTATGTAAACCCACTTATGGCTTTTCTTTTCAATGACATTATTATAAATTAAAAATGGTGAGAGAAAGGAAAACCTCCGGCTAAAAGAATGTAACAACACCAAAAACATCCTACTGAGCTATTACTGAAGAAATCACTTGTATTTCTAGATTGTGTTGTACATTTTAGTATTACATATTTAAGGGAGATGTTTATTATTGTTATCACCAATTAGGACTTTGAACATTATTGTTTTAAACTTTGGTTGGAATCATTTTATTTTAATGAAATAAAGTCTGGAAATCTAATACCTAATCAAATATTCATATAACTTTAAAAATAAGTCATTTATTATGTTATATTATGTAGTATATTTTGTTCACTCTTAATTCTAGTGTTTATATAATCTTCACCAGTGATTTGGATAGAGGAACCCCGTAGTGTACTTTTAATTCTTACAAGCCTAGAAATTTCATATGAGTACTATTTATGTGGTATGCGTAAACCGAAATAGACACTGTGTCATACATCAATCGATTATGATGATCATTTTAGTTATTTAGAAGTCAGTTTTTTAAGTCATAACTGAAATCCAAAAGTGTAAACAGCGCTATTATATCTTCAAGGATCATCAATTCCTTATTATTCCAGAACGATTTATTGCCTACTACGCTTTATTATCTTGAAAGTAGTCACATTTATTGTGTAAGGCTTCCAAGCTTGATAAACATAGAATGGTATACACTACTGACTCACATGAGTAGTCAGAAGCCGCTCACGACAGCCAGGAGTGTCTGCCAGGCAGACGAAAGCGGAAATTATACTTAATTGATGCTTAATTGATGAGCTCAGCCCCAAACGGACAAAACGGTCGTCCGGTGTTTCCGATCACTTTGATCTGACCAGCAAGCACTACTGGTTGGTGTGAGACTACTCATATCAGTCAGTAGTAAATATCGGCCCTTACTTTTATTAGTTTGAATATTTTGCTTTCCCGAAGAAAACTATGATGAAATTATCATCTTGAACTATGTAATTTGCGAATGACAAATTTTTACCAAATACACGTTTCGTCGCGTAATCATAATCACTAATTGTAATAATTATCACTAATTAATAATCTTTTTCACAAAGAAGAACAAGAGAGTGAAAGTGAACTTTGTACTCTTTTGTTACAATGATTATGCAATCATTAGAGTTATAAACGTAAGGTAAATCATGCACATTTTTTGTAAAGGTTAACTAGAAAATCTGATCGTAAAAGCTGTCAATTATTATCTGTTTTACAAAATGGTAATTACTCGCTAAAAAATCAAATTCGCCTCGAAATTTCTTATCAGTGTATTAAAAAAGATATTTTCATACAAACAAAAGAAATATTGACTGGTGACATAGTCAATAGTATTCATCATCTTTGTTCGTATTTTCTTGAAATCTCAACTCCTGAGACTTCTTTTGCAGTCATTTTCATAATTAAGCAAAGTTGAAAGGTTTATTCAATCACTACTTTCACGAGAAGTGTAGTAAGTAATTGCTGACCTGTATGCACTTTCCACTGAAGCTGTCGTCATTATATGTCCGCACGTGTGAAGTGATCACTTCATGTACCTCACGTAGTTCTGCAAGCGGTAATTTACAGCCTGGGTGACTGAAAGTTAGCTTCTTTCATGTACGTTTGAGTTTCTAACTGGACATCAGTTCTATTAAGAGTGTATACACGATTTCTTCGTAAACGCTAACAAGAGG